TTAATATGTTGATCTCTTTAATGAATTTTTCATTCATTTCCTGAATTATTTTTCTGGTTTCTTTGAATTGTTTTACCATTTTCTCTTGGATTTTATTGAGCTTCCTTACAATCTGTATTTGGAATTCTTTATCTGTCATTTTAATATTTTCATTTTGTTTGGTATTAATTGCTAGAGAGCTGATGTTTCCTCTTGGGATTGTCCTTTTTCTCTAATTTTTCATACTTCTGGAGTTATTTTGCTGATTCCTTTTCATCTGGTACAGTTGTCACTTCTTAATTTTGGATTTTGTTTTATTTAGATAGGGCTTCTCCCATCCCCACACTTGTAAAGGAGTGTCTGTATAATATGTTGGGTACGAATATTTGGATTTGCCTTTGTGTGCTTTGATGGTGATCTAGGTTTTGGATGGATATCTTGATTGTAGGTATCCTTAGTATGGTGGTTTTTTTCAGTTGCTAGTTGTATATAGCTTGTAGCAGTGGTGAGTATCTGTGTGGGCCTATTCCCTTTTTCTCTTTGATGAGGGAGGATGGAGGTCTTTGGAATCTTTTCTCTTTTCCCAGCCCTATGGTCTTCTTAACAGTGTGAATTATATTGGCATGTCCAATTTAATTTCTGAGATAGCAGGTGGTGCTTTTGAGTATGAATCAACCCCACACTGTATGACTGAGTCAATAAATGTTGTACAGGGCTGGGCAAATTGACTTCCCATCAGTATGTAGTGCTTGCCAGAAAGAACAAGCTGCAGTGTTGTTTTTGGGACCTGTGATCAGCTCTAGTCCCTCAGGAGAAGCACTCGAATGCCCCAGGTGGTGGGTGGGGCTCTGATACTTCCAAGTGAGTCCTTATTCTCCACCACAGTAGAGGAAGATGGTGGAATATCGCTGGCCAGGGCTGGGTTGGGTGAGCTTGCTCTCAGGCTCCACAAAAGCTGGTAAGGTAGCTGTTTCAGCAAGGGTAAAAAGTTTGCTCCCAGCTTTAAGAGAAAGGTGCCAGGGAGGGGCTGATGTGGCCCCACCCAACCAGAAAGCCTGTTTTTGGATGTGGGGCCATCTGAGATTCACAATCTGGCTGTCGGGAGTGGGTGTCACTCTCCCCCTCCCTCCTGTTCTGCAGTTTCCCTCCAGCATCTGCCAGCAGGCAGAAGCTCAAACTGGCCGAGCTCCCCCATGATGGCAACGTGCAATGGGAGCTTCCCTGTCCAGGATCCTGCCCTGGGCTGAGGGCAGGGTCTTTTTGTTGGAGAGGGGTGACCCACAAGTGTGCTATGCCTAGGACCCGCACTATGCTCTCTTTTCAGTTCTGCTGAAGTGTGCTGGTCTCGAGTTGTCTATGGATTGCTCAAGCAGGTTTAATGTCTCTCCACTTTGGGGTGTGCTCTGCTCTGATGGACTAGCCAGGCAAGCAGCATCAGGAAGTGTTGGTGAGTAGGGAGCTCACAGTCTGTGCACTGCTTAGTCCTCTGTAGGTCTTTAAGAAGAAAGGTTTGAGTTTCCATCTCTGTGGAAACCCCAGTGTGGTGTATCTACCAACAGGGAGCAGCTGCTGAGAGCACTGGCTCAATTGTCTCTCTTGGCATCCACAGGCAGTGGATCCTAAAGGGAGGAAAAGAGTCTGGATGGAGGAAAGCTAACACTCTGGTCATCTCTGTCCTTCTCTCTGGAAGGCAGCCCACCCAGAATGTCCAGGCTCTGAGATCACATAGATCTCTCACAACCCACTGGCCTCCTGTGGCTCTTGCAGTCTGGGCCAGAGTTGGGAAATGTTTTTGTGGGAATGAGCAAGACAAAAACTGAGAGGCTGAAGCCCCCTTGGGAGGACAAAGGTACACGGTGGGCGGAGAAGCAATATGGCACCTGCCACCTCATATTGGTTCTGTGGTAATGGTAAACACCCCCAAGGGGGATTGCAGGCTGGTGCTTTGTCCTCAAGAAGCTCCTAGCTCACTGGCAGCAACAGCTTTTGGGCTCATGAGGGAGGAACAGGCTCTCCAGCAGCTCAGGAGGCTGCTGATTGCCAAAGATGTGAGGGAAGGAGAAACAAACCGCTCCACCTACACTTTTCACTGGACTCCAAGCCTCTTGGGGATTATCTTTGCTGATATCTTGCTCCTTCTTATTCTGCTCCACAGCTTCTTCCTATGGAATCTCTTGTAGGTTCTGGCACTTTTTCCTTGGAATTACACCCAATCTATGATTGTGTGTTTGTTTGTTTTTTCTTTTTTATCTAAAACTTTTTCTTCTTTCTGAGATGACCTGGCAGCTGGTGTCGCTGGTCAGCCATCTTGTCTCTCTTTCCCCTCATTGATATTTTTGGTCATTATGATGTTTAAGTTCTCTACATCCATCTTGATTAATCTGTTGATTAATTACTATGATGAGTGTGATAAAATCATATTATGTGGATTTATAAAATCCTATTTACATTTCTTTTAATTTTTGCTTCATATGTTTTAAGGTTTGTTATTAGGTCCATAAAAGTTTAGACTTCTAAAAATATTCCTAGTGAATTGTGTATTTTATTATTAGGAAATGACTGTCCTTATTTCTAATAATATTTTTTTAGCTTAAAGTCTACTTTGTCTGATATTATAATGTGTAACCAGACCCTTAAATAAATATGCTTCATGGGATGTAATCAAAATGCACCTTATTTCTTTTCTCCCACTAACCTTTGAAATGTATTCACTGGGAAAAAAATTTTCCTGCCTCTGAAGAAGAATTTGGGCAGGCACCATTTCTGATCATAGGTAATGGAAAGCCCAATTGTCACTTTAAATAGCAAACAATCTTAAATTAATCATTACATGATTAGTATGATTAATATAAAACCCTATGTTTTAGACATAGAGATGTACAGCTCACATCACCTGTAAAAAAGTACTTGCTTCCCAGATGTGGGGAGTTCCAGGGCTGATGATAAGAAAGGCTGCTACGGAACTTGACTTCCCAAAGGCAGTGGTTATGACAGAATATGAAACAATGAAGTTGGTGTTGGTGCTTGATCCCAGAGGCTAGGGTGGACAATTGTTATGGCTGTCAAAGGTGGAGTGCCAGCCATGGGAACTTGTCTTGCAAAGAGTTTTGGAGACAGTTAATACAGCATGAGTGCTAGGGACAAGACTTGGACATCTAAGAAAGGTATTGCTCAGCTTGTGCCGGCAGAAGACATGAAAGGTTGTTGACCGGGAAAATGAGAGCAGTCCCCCTAGTGAAAAGTCACAATCCCTTTTTCAGTTTCCAGATGAGCCATTTTTAGACTCAGAATCCATTGATTGAAGAGGAGACCCAGTTCCAGTGGAGAAGGGCCGTGATACCATAAGAATACATGGTAATTTCCTAAGTTTTTAAAAGAACTGAGGACTATGCTCACTTAGTTAGGGAGTTACTCACTGGAGAAAGGAGAATTTCCAGACTTTTTGAATTTTATGGACACAGAGTCTGTGTTGACACTGATGGCTGGAGACCTGAAGTGTCATCATGGTCCCCTTGGTAGAGTTAATGGGAGTCAAGTGATAAATGGAGTCCTGGCCACCATCCTTCTTATAGGTCCACTGGGTACATAGACCTACCAGATGCTGCTATTTTAGCCCCTGGATTATAATTGAGTTTGAAATAATCGCAGATTATGTGAATCCTATGTTAGGTCTTGGGGTCTGTGGGGTATGAGCCATCATAGTGCAAAAAGTTAAGCAGAAGACCTGAAATTATGCCCACCCAATGATCAAGATAGTAAGTCAAAACCAATATTGAATCCTGAGTGGGGGAGGCTGTGTTTTAGATTAGTACTAACTTTAAGGATTTAAGGATGCAGAAATAATCATTTCTAACATGTCTTCATCTATTTGGTCAGTCTGACCCTACAGAAACTTAGTGAATTCTTAAGGTTAACTTTAGACCAGTGATTGTTAACTGGTAGTGATTTTGCCACCCAGGGGACATTTATCAATGTCTGGAGTCATTTTGGTTGCCACAAATGTGTATGTGTACAGGGATGCTACTGTCATTTAGTTGATTGAACCCAGGGATGCTGCTAAATATCCTGTAATGCACATGATATCCCTCTATGACAAAGAATTATCTGGGCCCAGATGTCAATAGTGCTGAGGTTTGAGAAACCCTGCTGAAGAGTACCACAAGCACAATCAAATATCACTCCAATTATAGCCATTATGCTGGATGTAGTGTCTTTGCTGTAGCAAATAAATAGGGCTACAGAAACATGCTATGTGGCCACTGATTTGGAAAATGCTATCTTGTTGATCCCAATAAAGAAAGGAGATCAGAAACAGTCATGGTCACATGGAACAGTCAACAACACACATTCATAGCTTTATCTTCAGCTGACAGCTCCTTTAGGGTCTGCCTCAGCTGCAGAGAGCTGACCTGGCTGAGGTCACACCCTTTCCAGGGCATCTTGCATCTGGTGACTGAGCAAGACATAAGTATACAGGCCTAAACATTCTGACCCAACACAGGAAAATGCTGGCAGCCAGAGTGCTCTACCAGATTGGTCAAGGCCCTGTCAGGCCTATTTCCCAGTTTGATATCTCTGCCTAATCTTGTTTCCACCCTACTATGGTTTGAATGTCCCTACCCAAACTCATGTTGAAATTTATATGCCATTGTAGCAGTATTAAGAGGTGATTAGGTCATGAGGGCTCTGCCATCATGAATAGATTAATGTCATTATCATGGAAGTGGGTTAGTTATCATGGGAGTAGTCTCCTGATAACAGGATAAGTTTGGCTCCATTTCTTTCTCCATCTTGCCCTTCTGTCATGTTTGGACACAGCAAGAAGGCCTTCACTAGTACTGAGCACTATGCTCTTGAACTTCCCAGTCTTCAGAACCATTAGCCAAATGAAATTCTTTTATTTATAAATAATCCAATCTATGGTATTCTGTTATAGTAGCAGAAAATGGACTAAGACGCTCTCCCCTTTACATGTGTTGATTTTGCCTCTAATAAATATCCTGTACTCTCAACTCTCTTAGCTATCAGCTGTTCCAGAGAATCCAAACTGTGACTCCTCACAGTACTATGCTACAACAAGAATTCAGATGGACATAATTTGCAAGTAGCTCCCAAACTCACAGACCTCTTGTACAGGTTAGTGGTTCCGGCTCACCTTAGTTATAATATTAACATTACCATAATGAAACCCTCTATTTTGTACCATTGAATGACTTTGAACTCTATTTATAGTGTCATGGTAGGTTTTTGTTGTGTTGCGTTTTATTCGATAGCATTAATCAATACTTTAATCTTCCTTTCAATTTTTATCAAAAACAAAATATTTTTCCTGATTCTTCAACCTCCCCACCAATAGCTAGGATGAATTGCAGATAGGCAGCCAACTGCCTTTGGGGAAGAAAACAAAATGGTTGCTTCTCCATTGCCTTTTTCCCCTTCTAAATTGGCTAACTGGGGCTTCAGACCTTCTCCAGGGTTGAAGCATAGGAAGACCATTCCCAGAGCAAACCTTGCCCTCTGCTCTCACCATTGGAGGGAGTGTAATTACCTGCCAAATGCTCACTAGGATATCAAATATTTATTGTATCTGGGCAATCCCATTGAATTTCCAATTTAACAATTTGACTTATATAGCTATTTCAGCTTTCTTATGCTTAGAACAATTTTCTGTGTCTTTATAGCCTAGGGGTAGGTGGATAGTTTTAATTCAGTCTGTCAATGTAGGTGGCAAAGTTTGCCAGCTTCCCAGATAATTCTTATGGTCAGTGTGCAACACTGAATAGTAACAAGACTCAAAGATCTTCCTTGGAATAGTCATGAGGCTTGAAAATGTTGCCTGTGACAGCCTCGCCTCATCTTTCTTTTCTCCTTCATGAATCTCAGCCTCCCCACTTAATAAGCTTATGTCCTCGGCCTCTTTATCACTTTTACTCAAAATCCAGGGAATGACGTGATTGGTTCATTCACGTGAAAGCATACAATAAGTGTCGACTTTCTCGTGGGAAAGTTGCATTCTAGTGGACAAGAGAATTCTTGTTTGATTTAAATTCAGAAGAGAAAAAAAAAACTATTTAAATATTGACTGGGGAAAATTTTGTGGAGGCCTGCCAGAGGCCTAGATAGAGGTATTGCTCCAAAAATCTGACCAGGCAAGAAAAGCTAAGCAAAAGCTTTGATATGTTTCCTCATTAGAGGCTTCCATGAGAAATAGATAATTTTTAGTGTACTGTGAACACAAAGATATAGCATGATTAAAATGCTAAAGTGGAAGAAATGAAGTAGATCATGGGATTGGGAAATTTTTTATTTTCTATATTGGTAAACTAGACAATGGTATCAAATAGAATGCTTTTAGCTGCAAGTAGCAGACTCCCAAACTTCTTAAACAGTAGCTTAAGAACGATGACATTTAATTGTTTCCCGTAACAAGGAATCTATTAGTTCCAGTTTGGGAGCTGCAGTTCAGATGTCTTTAAAGCCCCAAGTTTCCAGCGTTTCTTTTTAGCATCCTTAGAATTTGGCTTTTTATCTTGATGTTTGTGCCTTGTGGTTACAAAACCACGAGGTTGTAGTCATCATAGCCACATTCAGAGGCAGGAGAGAGATAGTTCGCTGGCCAGGGAGGCAAGAAAGAACTCCTTGCAAGGGTCATTCTCCTTTTAAAAGTGACAAAAATATATTTTGAAGAACCTATTTCCTCCACAGCAGAGTTTCCCAAAGACTTCATTGGCTAGAACTGGGTCACATGGCTACTCCAAGCTCAGGGAAGGCTGGGAAAGAATCATCTGGTTAACATGAAGGGGAGGGACAGCCATCTCGGCCATAAACAGTCATGATCCACCATTCCCTGATGCCTTCCCCCCAAAAAACTGGAATGTAAAAAAGGACAAGAAATGTCTAATGGGTAGCAGGCCTATAGTGCTTCCACGTCAGCCATGGATTATAATTCACATTTTATATAGTTGCTATCTCATAAGTAGAATATAAATACTATGGAAACAGGAACATCATCATCTTCAATTACTACTGTGCCTTTCACACCAGAGAAAAGTGCCTAGCCCATAGTAGATGCTCATTAAATATTAGCTGATTTAACTTAATCAGCTTAATTACTTAATCACTTAATTAGGTGATTTCACTGCGCAAACCTCACAGAGTGTGATTACACAAACCTAGATGATATAGTCCATTACACACCTAGGCCATTGCTCCTAGGCTATATGCCTATACAGCATGTCACTGTCATGAGTACTGTAGATAATTGTAATACAATGGCAAGTATTTGTATATCTAAACATAGAAAAGTCACAGTAAAAATATGGTATAAAATATTTTTAAATGGTATATACCTTTACAAGGCACTTACCATGAATGTAGCTTGCAGGACTGGGAGTTGCTCTGGGTGAGTCAGTGAGTGAGTGGTGAGTGAAAGTGAAAGCCTAGAACATTACTGTACATTACTGTAGATTTAATAAATATTGTACACTTTAAACTTATAAAAACATTTTTTTTCTTTAATAATAAGTTATCCTTAGCTTACTGTAACGTTTTAACTTTATACATTTTTTAATTTTTTTAACTTTTTGACTCTTTTGTAATAACACTTAGCTTAAAACACAAACACATTTTACAGCAATACAAAAATATTTTGTCTTCATACCCTTATTCTGTAAGGTTTTTTTCTATTAATTTTTAACTTTTTATACTTTCTTGTTAAAAACTAAGACACAAACACACACATTAGCTTAGGCCTACACGGGGTCAGGATCATCAATATCACTGTCTTTCACCCCCACATCTTGTCCCACTGGGAGGTCTTCAAGGGCAATATGACAGCATGGAGCTGTCATCCCCTGTGATAACAATGCCTTCTTCTGGAATACCTCCTGAAGGATCCACGTGTTACAGTTAACTTTTTTTCTATAAGTAGAAGGAGTATTCTCTAAAATAATAATAAATAGTATAGTACATACATAGACCAGTAACATAGTTGTTTATTACCATTATCAAGTATTATATACTCTACATAAATTACAGTCATACTTTTGTATGACTGGCAGCGCAGGTTTGTTTACACTAACATCACCTCACACACGTGAGTAATGAACTGTGCTAAGATGTTATAATGGCTATGAATTTTTTTTATCTCCATTATCATCTTATGGGACCACCATTGTATGTGGTCTATCACTGAGCAAAACATCATTGACTATATAGCTTTAGAAAGAAAGCATACATAGAATTAGTTCTGATAGACAATGCACTCTTTTAATTCATTCATTCATTTATTTAAAACTTATCTATCTCTTACCAAGTGTCATGTACTTTAAGAACTGGGCATAGTAAGCAAACTAACCCTATAGCAAGTGAACAAAAAATTAATTTACATTGTAGACTCAACACCATTGCAACATTTAGGAAGTGTCAAATAACTAATCCATCTTAGATGTGAATTTTTATTTGACAGTCTCTTGGTTCAGAATGCATGGAGATATGCTGTGCTGTGTGTAGTCATTTACCAGTGAAGCTCTTTTGCAAGGAACCTGGAGATGAACAAGGAATCTCGAAGCATTCAAATATTTCCTCTGTCCCTTTCAAAGCAAAGCCAAACACAGCACCATATGCCAGAAACCCAGACTACAGAAGAAGACAGGATCTTCTAAGAGTATCCATAGCCTCCCCAAACAACAAGCCTAATGACTGTCAGTTGAGCCTAACTGCGTCCGAAGAGGAAACAGTTGGGACGTGACAGCTTTGCGTCAGTGGTTTGGGGCAGTAGCAGAAATGCTGGGATGGTGTGCTTTGGAGAGGCTTGTCTGCTTTTTAACTTTATGCCATGATACCGCCATCGCGATTTTTTTGACAGTCCTGGGGAAAAAATGCAAACAGAACTGACCTCTCTTCGGCAGCTCTGTAACCGTGGGGCTTGTGTAGGCAGATTGGCATCTGCAGGCACATCTTTAGCAAGTTGGCAGCCTCCGTGCCCTTTGCAGGTTGCAATCAAACCTGCCTTCTACAGCAGCCTCTTTCTGGTTGATTAACTTTAATGTAATTTTAATTAAAAACCACAGTGTCAAAGGGTTTAGCTACTCGAGAAATGAGCACAGACTGCGGCCCAGTGGCAGCAGTCACTTGGAAAATGGAAATGTGTCCTGACAATGTTGTGCAGGGGCCAGATAAACAGGGTTGCTGCAGTGCTCCGCTCACATGCAGGAAACAGGCAAGGGAACATCAGAACCAAGAGACCGGCTTGTACATCAAGGGGTTCTAATGTATGAATTTCAGGTGCCATCCACATTTTTTGAGAGCTTGTTCAGTCCTGGCACAAAATATCCTCTACAATGGCTGGCTGTGACCATTCTGTTCTCCTCCTGGCACTTTGGTCTCTAAATCGGCACACAAATCTGGTTTAAACATGAATCAAATTTCAGACAGGATAAAAAGAGCCAGACCTTACTGTATTATTCAAGTGTAGAACTTCTCTTTTTTTCACTATACATATTTTATGGGAGACAGGGAATTCTAAATGCCAGAAATAAACTTTTCTTTCAAGGAAAGACTCTCTTTGGGATAATATGACTCCTTGACTACTTTACAAATTGTGCCAAGGAACTATGACAGACTTCTTTCAGAAAGATTGCTGCATTACTTGAATTAGAAGAATGAGAGGAGATAATCTTGCAAATGTGTTTGGTCATGGTAGGTTTAGAAAATAGATTTTATTTACTTGATCTTCTTATGCATTAAAGTAGAAATCATTATTTTAAAATTTCTGGTTATCCTGAAGATACTACCGTTTTAAATGCCTGCTTTCCTTTAATTTTCTTGTTGATGTTAAGTAATGCTCAGAATAAAGGACTGAAATGTTGTCCTACGTGGGAGAAGTATTTTATTAATGCCAGTGGAATGAATGTGTCTATTCCATGCTGAAATGCCCTTTATTCTTCCTCAATGTAGCTAATTTTTCAGGGCACAACTCTCAGGAGAACACCTAGTGACGTCAATTCTTCAGAGGAGAATTTCCTCCACCAGGTTTGTGGGACGCTGGGGCTGCTTTGCTGACAGATGGGGCCGGTACAGGTGGGCCCAGAGCCATCTGAACAGAAGGGGCCCCTGGACCCTGACAGAGAGGATAGACAGAACGGTGGGGGAGAGTTTAGGGCAGTGGACAGGGAGGGGAGAGAGGAGGCATAGAGGATTTCTACACTGAATCCAGCAGAGAGGAAGAAAAGCAAAAACAAGCAGATGGGTGGACAGGGAGAAGTGATTTGAATTGTATAACTTGCTTAAGAAACTAATAAAAAACAATCTCTGGGGGACTTCACTGCAGGCAATTTTGGAAAATTAGAAATTTATCTAAGATTGCCAAAGTAAAGAAAAATAAATATGAAATAAAAATATGAAAATGAATGGTGTGTGAGCTTGCATGATGAATCCTCTGCAGGTCCCTATACATATCCAGGTAGAGAGAATCATTCTTTTGCTATTTCTGGTGGTAAAGAGCTATTATTATCTCTCTCTCATCTCAAGTGCTTTCTCCATTAAAAGACAAAATAGAATTTTGATTGCCAGTGCAGCAGATGACATAAGTGATCAAAATGGACATACTGAAAATTTATTATAATGCATTTATAAGGTTCCTTTGATGACAATTTTTAAAAAAGAAAAAAGCCCTATGAAAGTAGGATCTGAAGAACTTAGACCAGAATATCCAAAAGCATCTTCTCTAGAATATTATTTTTTCAGGACATTTAAACACGTATTTTGGAAAACTAGTTCTATGGCAAAATAAATGTGGGGACTGAGTTACATGTCAAACAGATTTTTTTTTTTAACTGCTGCACTTTGCAGGGTCTTCATGGGCTCTGTAACATATGCACATCTTCTCTGACTTTGATCATGTGAAAAGCATTTTTTTGAGGATAGTTTATAAGGTACACACCTTAGAAAACAAACTCTCTTGAACGAGCCAAAGGCACATGAGACTTTGTCATTGCCAAGGAGGTTATCTGAGTGGGTACATTTACAAAGGATGCAAATCTGCATTTGCATTGCAGCTTGTGTTTGACAATGGGCTGACATTGGCTATTCAGCAGGAGTCATTTTTGTATCTAACAATATAAATCAAAATGCTAAAAACACTTTATTTGCAGTTGATTATAGCAGTGGTGTTGTTTTTACCTATTTTGCAGTACAGATTTTTTAATTAAAAAAAATTAAAAACAGCTTTATTGAGGTACAGTATACATTTTGAATTAAAGAGTTTGTCTTTGGTTAGAAGTGGTGAGAAAAGACATTTTCTAAAAATTACAGTCTAACCACTGACTGCAGTGGATGCTGGCCATATACACCGCTGTACTTGTGTGTTCCAGCTGAATGCCAAGTCTGCCCCTGAATTTTTCCTTGGTCTCCATTTACAATTTTCAATATCTTCACCTTCTTTGAACAACATGTACTATGAGAGCAGAGACAGGTCTGGTTTTGCTCACTACTGTGTCCCTAACACTTACCATGTAGTTTGAATTCAACAGATATTATTAGAACTAATGAATTGTCCCTCTGGTTAATGTTGAATACTCATGACATATCAGAAAGCATGAGAGCTAGCACCAAACAATGTTGGAGATAACTTTACTAAACATCGTCAGCTAAAATGGTGATTTTTTTTCTGTTTTTTCTTTTATTAGAAGTAATTTTGAGCACCAGTGACCTGCAAATCACTCTGCTATGAACCCTGGTAGATAAAAAGATGAATGCAAGAAGAGCAAGACTCTTTAGGGAACATATCATCTGGTGGATGTGGCTTTAGTACACGAGAGTGGGTAGGGATAGAGAAGGTGGGAATTGGGCGGTGTGGGATGAGTACAAAATTAGCTATGCTGAAGCTCATGCTTCCAAATGGAGAAAAGGCATCCTCTGTGAGCACATAGAGTTCAGGTTTTTGGGAGATGGCTCAACTGGTGTAAAAGGAACCCAGCATTTCTCCTGCTAGATTATAACAATAATCCCCCATTTGCATAACACATTTTCACAATATCGCACTTAATCCTTGAAATAGCTCTGGGTGATAGATATTTTTATTCTAATTTTATAGACAAAGAAATGGAGTCTCAGAGAGGTTAAGGTCTTCATGGCCCTATACCTAGTAGGCTCATGGTTGAACAGCTGGTCTGTCTCTTAAGTTCTCAGTCCTGTGTCCTTTTCATCAGCATAATCACCTTTAAAGCATGTGGTTTTATCTTCCCCAGAGTTCCCAATGTAGTGCTTACCAAGTGAAGTTACCCAATTAGTACAAATCATTTCATTTATGCCCAGGGGTCATGTTTGATGATACTACATATAGTATAAGCACCTTACTTTTTATTCCTCAAGCACCTTTATATATCTAGTAAGTAGTAATAATATTTGTTTTCATTACTGAACATAGCCAGGGGCACTACTATGCACTTTTCATATGTTATTTGCCTGTCTCCTTCATCAACCTAAAATTTCTTGAAGGGAGATAGTATATGCTATTCATCTTTGAATCTTAGAAATTTGATTCACTTGAAGTAAAAGTTATGCTCTACCTTTCAAGTGCTATAGGCCATTTCCCAAGTATCTTAAACATTTTTCAGGACTATAGAGATATTGCCACACACAAACTAGACTGATATCTAGTCTTAGGAAAAAAATCGAGGTTCATGAATAGTTTAATTTTGTAATTTCAAAATAGCCTGATTGTTGGTCTCTGTTGGATTATAAGCTTCATAAAGATAAAGCAATGTTTGCCTCTTATATTCCCTTTCCTTCAGCATTTTTTTTTTACCTGGAACATAGCAGGTACATAATAATTATTCACTGAATGATTAACACCACTATTTTTTCTCTTAGGGGAAGATATGATTTTGGTAATGCTTGAGGAAGAACATGGAAGTGAATACTAATAATAGAGCTTTTTTTTTTTTGCAGATTAATTTTATTGCTAACCTGATATGTGTGAATGTTGAAAAAAATATATCATGGAGCTTCCCTGATACTCAATGAACCTAGAAAGCAGAAATGAGGAGTCTAACTCTAACTGATATTTGTCATCAGCCAATAAAACAGAATGGCAAAACCAGATTTGGGGAGACAATCATTATTTTTGTAATATTTGGGGTTTAGCATTATGAAGTCTTATTATTACATATCCATCAAACTTCTATGTACTGAGTATACAAGTACAAGGTTTGGATAAGAGGGACTAAGCATGAAGCACACACTTAGAGCCAAGGATCCTATGCTAGATATTTTTTACTTCCATAATTTAATTTCATCAACATAATTTATCAGGATAGGTATTGGTCATGTCTTATAGATTGGGGAAACTAAAGTTCAGAGAGACAGCTAACTGGCATAAGTTTTAAGTTCAACCTGGTAAGTAGTAAAATCTGCTTGACAAAAAGCTGGATATAATAACAAAGGCAGACAATGCAACAGAAAGATCATGGAAAGAGAAATTCAAAGAGAGCCCTGCCAAAACTAATCATCCCAGGTTGCCTGTGCACATGCTCAAGACTGCACCCTTAAAAAATAACATCAGAGACTACACATTACAAGGGTAATAAATCTCAATAAAATAGGTTAACCAACTCACTAAAAAACCCCAAACAACCAAACAACAACAAAAGCCCTGAAGGGGGGGAGGTGAATTAGTATCCAGGGTTGCTATAATAAATTTCCAGTTTCCAACAACAACACAAAATCACAAGACATGCAAAGAAACAGAAAATTGTGATCTGTATATAGGAAAAAAGGAGGCAACAAAAACTGACTGTGAGAGAGCCCAGGTGACAGATTTAACAAACACTTCAAAGGAGCCATTGTAAATATGTTCAAATAACTAAAGGAAAGTATGTCTAAAGAACTAAAAGAAGATATGATGACAATGTCTAATCAAATAGAGAATATCACTAAAGAGGTTAAAAGTTACATAAAAAGAACCAAATGGAAATTTTGGAGTTGAAAAGGATACCAAATTAAAAAATTCACTAGAGAGGGGTCAATTGCAGTTTTGAACAAGCAGAAAAAAGAAGTGAACTTGAGGATAGATTAATAGAGGTGATACAATCTGAAGAATAGAGAGAAAAAAATGAAGAAAAATGAACAAAGACTTAGAAAAATGTGGGATACTATTAAGAGCATCAACATTTCACTATAGAAGTACCAGAGGGAGAAAAGAGAAATAAAGAAACAGAAAAAATATTTGAAGAAACAATAACTGGAACCTTCCCCAATTTGCTGAAAAATGTTGAACTACACATCCGAAAAGCTTCATGAACTCTAAGTAAGATAAGCACAAAGAAATTTATATCCAGACACATTATGGTAAAAATGCTGAAAAACAAACACAAAGAGAAAATCTTGAGAATATCAAGAGAAAATCAATTTAGCACATACAATAGAACTCCAATAAGGTAAATAGCTTACTTCACATCAGAAACAATGGGGTTCAGATGGCAGTGAACCTTCTGGACCCCTTACGGTTGACCCTTGAACAATATATGGGGTTAGGTATGTCAACCCCCCACTCACTCAAAAATCCATATATAACTTTTGACTCTCCAAAACTTAACTTCAAATAACCTACTGTTGACCAAGAGCCTTATTGATAATATAACCAACTGATTAACACACATTTTGTATGTTATATGTATTATATACTGTATTCTTACAATAAAATAAGCTACAGAAAAGAAAATATTATTAAGAAAATCATGAGGAAGAGAAAATGTATTTACTGTTCATTACATGAAAGTAGATCATCATAGATGTCTTCATCCTCATTATTTTCATATTGAGTAGACTGAGGAGGAGGAGGAAGAGATGGGGTTTGTCTTACTGACTCAGGGGTGGCAGAAGTGAAAGAAAATCCATATGTAAGTGGACTTCATAGAATTCAAGCACATGTTGTTCAAGAGTCAGCTGTATTAAAAGTGCTGAAAGAAAAAAACCTGTAAACCAAAAATCTTATGTTCAGTGAAACTATCTTTCAAAAATGAAGATGAAATAAAAACATTACCAGACAAACAAAAAAACTGACAGGAGTTATGCTACATAATGTAGCATACGAGAAATACTAAAGGAAATTTTCATGCAGAAAGCAAATAATTTCAGACAGTGATTTGAATTTATTTTTATAAAACACTAATAAAAGTAACTGAAAAGACAGGATAAATCCATATTTGTTCTCTTTCAGTATCCTCAGTGATTTAAAAAGTAACTTAATGAATCTATGTGTATAATTAAGCTGTTGGGCCAATAACATATAAAAATGTAATATATTTGACACATTACAAAGTAGGTGGGCGATGGTAAAACCATGTTGTAGTAAGAAAATGACACCCGATGGCAAATTGAATGCACAGAAACAAATGGAAAAAACAAGAAACATTTAGAAAGAAGGTTAGTTTAACAAACTATAAGTATGTTCTTGTTCTCCTTTCTTTCTTCAGCTTCTTTAATAGACATAAAGTTATATAAAGTAATAATTATAACAATGTATTGTTCAGTTTGTAACATATATGAATGTAATATGTAACAATAATAGTACAATAAAAGCAAAGAGAATGGAATTGTATAGGAGCAACATTTCTATAGCTCACTGAAATCAAGACACTATACATATGAAGTAGGTTGTAATAAGATGTATATGCTAAGCTTGAGAGCAACCACTAAGAAAATAAGTAAAAAAAATCATTATAGGAATTAAAATGTCACAATAGAAAATGCTCACTCAATGCAAAACATAGTAGCAAAAGAGGAACAGAGGAACAAAAAAGATGTGAGACATATAGAAACCTAAAAGCAAAATGGAGAGTATAAATCCAATTATATCAATAGAAACATCAAATGTGAATAGATTAAACAATCCAACCAAAAGATATAGACTGGATATAAAACATGATGCAACTGCAATGCTTTCTACAGGAGACAAAATTTAGATACAAAGACACAAATTGTTGAAAGTAAAAGTGTGGACAAAGACCATACACAGAGCAAACACATGAAACCTGGAGTGTCTGTAATAATGTCAGACAAAAGAGGCTTTAAAAATGCCAGTAGAGATAAAGGAGAACATTTGGTTATGAACAAAAGGTTAATCAATCATGAAGATATAACAATGATAAACACAGAGAGACTCCAAAACAAAACCTCAAACTACATGAAACAACCAATGACAGAATTTCAAGTAAAAATGTACAATTCCACAACAACTGTTGGAGGCTCTAATAGTCCAATTTAAATAATGGATAATACAACTAGGCAGAAGATCAACAAAGAAGCAAAAGATTTGAAAAACATGATATATAAACTACAATCTACATCTATAGAACATTCCACTGAACAAGAGCAGAATACAAGTTCTTCTCAAGTGCTCATGAAACATTCTCCTGGATAAACTATATTCTAGGCCATAATACAAACCTCAATATTTTTAAAAGGACTGAAGTCAAAGTACGTTCTTTGATAACAATGGACTGAAAGTAGATACCAATAGCATAAAGAAATGTGGGAAAATCACAAATACGTAAAAATTAATCAACATTTCTAAATAACAATAGGGTCTAAAAAAAAAAACCTCAAGAGGAGTTAGAACATTTTTTGAGATGAACGAAAATGAATACTCAACATACCAAACTTATAGGATGCAACTAATCCAGTGCTGAGAGAGAATTTTATAGCAATAACTGCTTATAATAGAAAAGAGAAAATGTCTCAAATAAGTAAGTTCTACTTCAAGAAACTAGAACAAGAAGAACAAACTAAACCCAAAGCTAGCAGAAGGACAGCATTAATAAAGAATAGAATCAAATGAATAAAATGGAAAATAAAAAAAAGCAATAGAGAGAAATCAAGAAAGCCAAAATTGGGTCTTTGAAAAGATCAACAAAATTGATAGGTTGTTAGCTAGACTGAGCAACAGGGAAAAATAAGAGAGAATATTCAAAATACTAAAGTCAGGAATAAAAAGTAGAACATTAATACCAATCTTACAGAAATAAAAACAGATTATAAGGAATGCTATATATGCATATGAAAAATTAGATAATCTAAATGAAGTGGATGAATTCCTAGAAAGACACAAACTACTTAAACTTATTCAAGAATTAGCAGAAGATCTGAGTATACCTTTAAACAGTAGAGAGAGAGAATTAGTAATCAAAAAATTTTCTACAAAGAAAGCCCCGGCCCAGATGGTTTTACCGGTGAATTCTATCAAATGTTTAAAGAACAATTAATAATCCTTCAAAACTATTTCAAAAAACAGAAGAGAAGGTATATCTCACTCTATGAGGCCAGTGTTATTCTGATAGGAAAACCAGACTAAGACATCATAAAAAAAGAAAATTACAGACCAACATCTCTTATAAATATAGATGCAAATATTCTTAACAAAATAGCATTATACCTAATCCTGCAACATATAAAAAGGATTATACACCATGACTAAGTGAGATTTATCCCAGCAATGTTAGTTTGGTTTAATATTTGAGAACCAATGAATGTAATACACCAATAGAGTAAGTTCCAAAAATCATATGATCTTTAAACCATAGCAAAAACATTTGACAAAATTCAATGCCACTTCATAACAAAAACACTCAAACTAAGAATAGAAGGAAACTTTCTGGACCTGATAATGTGGATCTACAAAAACTCATAACTAACGTCATACTTAATGGTGAAAGACGGAGTGTTTTTCTGCTAAGATTAGGAGCAAAGCAAGGATATGTGCTGTCACCACTTCTATTAACATTTGCTAAAGTTTCTAGTCTGGAAAACTAAGCAAGAAAGTGAAATAAAAGGCATCTTGATGGAAAATAAAATAGTGAAACTACATTTGCAGATGACAATAATCTTGA